ATCCCGTGAGGCGGGGTCGTGGATGCGCTCTGCTGAGGAGTTCGAAACTAGGACAGAACGGCCATCTAGTGCTTCCAGGTTTTCCATGGTGGTCTAGCTTCAATAGACTCATGATCTCAACTGTTGAGATAAATATGTATCAACCGTTATTACAACTTAATTTGATGTAGATTGCATACTGGAGAACGAGTTACATTGGCGGATAGTTAATTGTAACTTAACATATTAAGTGTCTAATAATTTAATCTGGAATATATATATTCTATTTGATTCTTTTTTTGAGATAATTAAACTTCAGAGGAAAATTATCGACAACTTTTGTGTAAAATAAGATTGAATACACTATTCTGAATCAAATCAAATTTAAAACGAATCACTAACATCTCCTATTTTAGATAAAATCATTGTTACACCTTGAATATCCCAGTTTAAAAAAAGGATTTGAGAGAAGTAAACGTTTTGTGAAATAAATCATTTCAAATTAAAGTACACTATATGATTATAGTATCATTTTGTCCGTAAGCGAAAAAGCTGTAGAAAGTTGACATCTATCTGGAACAAAATTATCATTTGTGTACATTGTTAGAATTATCTCCTAGTGTATTATTTAGTGGTCAACAGATCACAAACAACAGTCATAGCGACAAGAACTCAGTTATTATAATATAGCTGGTTAAAATAGTAACAGAATATAATGGCAACTCGTTGTGGTGCCGTCTGAAGATGCTTTTTATCTCCAGGATGAAATCCACAAGAAACTAGTATTTTGAATGTAAGTAATTAAATTATTTAAATAATGCTTCTCCAACAAACCACTGGTAATGGTAATGCGTTTTGTCCAATAACATATATGTTGTTACAGTAAGGAATTATCTGCACCTATTGTGCAATATTCAAACAAGTCGGTGTTAAACATGCATTCAAACGGTAATTAATCAATAACATATTTTGTAAATGGTTTTAAGTTATAATTCGCCAACTATCATAAATTATGACAGTTTCCCATCCTGTAATTTGCTACAACTATATTTTTCATTCAACATATATAAGATGAATGGATTGTAGTACATTCCATACTCGTTTTGTCAAAGGATAGATAAGGGGGAGAATATCCCAAGAACCACAAAATGCTATGATGAATTAATTGACATAGTGTTCGTGAAGTAGTTCCGAAGCCAGAATGCCCAGGACTGATATCGTTCACACAATTGGAAAATTAATATTTAGTCCCCAAGTTCGGTAGTCGGAAATTCGGGGTAAGGCTTGATGCTTACGATAGTAGAAATGAAGGATTATTTAACATGAATGCGACTGAACCGGACACTGACTTAGAAGTTCATGCTTACCTCAGGGAGCTTAGGTCAAATAAAGATAAAAAGCATGCCAATTTCATCACGTCCAAAATTTGAAATATGATCAGTTTTCACAAAGCACTCAGTGTTTTTGGAAAATTGTATGACGAGCAGTCATTATATTTCATCACTCGTTATAGTTATATACAAACACCCGACAAAGCTGATGATTTTTATCTTGTTTATTCGGACAAAGTGAATTTCAGATACAAAAATGTAAACCTTGTCTCAATATTACAAAGTTAGTCCAATTGCAACATACCTATATATAGAATGTAGCCACCTACTGATCTTAATGAGCATAATGCACATACAAATATCCCCTCCAAATGCTTTATAGACAAAGTGAGCGTACATGAATCACATGTTTTGTTACTGACACGTCGAAATATAAAATGTGCTTATTCATATTTTGAATGGAATAATGACATCATATTTTTCGGTACGAAAGGTGAAAAAACCACCATGTATAATATTACCCATACACGACAAGATCATATAAAAGAATCCTTCAACCGTTATGTATGACTACATGCCGCAATACTCTCAATATAATGAAGGTGTGAGTAGTAATGAGACGCTTCAGGCCAATAAAGTCACATTAATTGTAACGTGGGTACATTAAGACCCAATATTGTTTCGTACGGGAGGGAAAGTCATTTACACGTTGAACGAAGGAGTAGGGCATAGATGTCATGAGCTAAAGTCAATTTTTTTTCAAAGAAAGCTGAAAAACCAACTGGAAGCTGGGACACAACAATGTAACCGACCGAAAGCTTATTCCTATGTATTCCATGAAAAAAGATGAGGTGATACGACAGGAAGAAAAGACAAAATCACATTATTTTACCCATTGTGATTTTGCTCAGCATTGCTTCCGCATTTTAATTCAATGTGATGTTTATTAAGATTAATATTTGTTTTATAAGCAGAGATGGATGGTGGCTAACAGTGGAATCCAGGAGGCGCGTTTCATCCTATTTTGGGATAACATCCTGGATTCCAATGCTAGCCACCATCCACCTCTGCTTATAACGTTTGTGACTTATGGTAATATCGAGGCAATCCGCACAAGATGCATATATGCTAATGAGAAACTGATCAATCGCTGTCCTAAACATCAATGGGAAACTTCAAACAACTCATACAAAAAGGAACTAATATTTGTTTTGTTTCCCAGTGAGGTATTTTATTCGTTATAACATTAATGTATTTAAGTGTGTTGTTCATTCAAGATACGATATTCTTGTATAAAATTAACATGAACTGCGCGCAGCATGACATGCAGCATGTGATGTTATAAATCTGGGTATTTCTTATACATGTGATTGTATCTTAATTAATAATCAAAATGGACGGATGATCAGTATACATTGAGTGCATTTTCGACTAGAGTCGTCATGTTTAGGATTTAATAAGACTTCACTTGTACCAGTCATGGTGTGCTTACTTCACATCGTGGGAATTGTAGTGGTTTCTCGTTCTTCTAAGTGAAAGAATACCCAACGCGAATATAACACGTTTGTTTTCCAATATTAATAATAGTGGTAAATTCCAGGCATTATACAATGTGTGTAAGTACCTACAGCTAGCATTCATACTTATTTAATTCAAATAAATCATAAACGTGAAGGTCAATCCCAATATTAAAAAATAGAAAGGTAGGCGGCTCAAATGTTTAAGCACATCATCGGAAGGTTAAATAAAGTGAAATAAAGTAACACGCAGCAGAGTCGAGACCTGAACTTCAATTACAAGTTCCACAACCAAAACAACCATGAATCAATCTGACTACAACTTACACACTTTTGAAAAAAGACATATTACAAAGAAGCTGTCAGTGATTCTGAACTAACTAACTAACGTATCGGTCCCCAAATACCTTGATATAGCCGAGAGTGAGGAGAGTCAGCTCTCCCACTCAAAATGTTCTCACATGGCCTCGTACATACAACCACTGCAAGGGAAGTCCTACTCACTGCATTCTACAATAACGGGTGTTGTTTACGAAATTGAGAGGACGAAAAACAAGTGTCCGGCACTTTAACTGGATTGGCGGACACAGAGGGTCCACGTAAGGGAGTTGCAAAACCCTGATTACAAACCAATGGTGACCAAGGGATCCAGGATCCTGAAGGAATAAATGGCGTATGAAACAATCGTTGGTCACCGGACACCATGGGGCTGCATCTCCTGACGTCGCTCTAATGCTTCGTGGATTAGACCTTTTAGGTCAAAGGCTTGGGGTGTGGCCCCCTAAAAAAACCACCTGCTTCGGCTTGGGCACCCAGGCAGTATCCCAGGCGTCACAAAAATCGAATGATTTATGTAGTGCATATCTATTTGGTGCCTCCATGTACCAATGTTTATGTGTTTAAATAAATAACGTATTATTTATATGAATATTCGTCAAGATTGGAACAAATATTTTGACGACAATTAGGCGCCGAGTATAGGGAAGTCATTATATGTAAAATTATATTTGAAATGTTCTCACCGATTGAAATTTAAATAATTCCAACGTTTCGTTCATCCAACTTATCTGGACTTCTTCAGGGTAATAATCAAAATTAACAAAGAAATATTAGCGTATGACACCGTAAGATCGACATAAGTGAAAGTTGAAGTTATGTTACCAAAGGAAGAACGACAAAATATTGTCTATGAGATCAACTGTCATGATTGTAATACAGCTTATGTGGGAGGAACATCCAGGCGATTGAATGTAAGGTTAAAGGAACCTAAACGGTGTTTGAAAAATGTCCCCAAATCTTCGGTCGACCTAAAGAAACTTGAGAATAAGTCTGCGATAATGTTACATGCGTTGGAAACAGGACACAAGATTAATTTTGAAGGGACAAAAATACTTCAGAAATGATTTAACACTCATAAAGAAGGATTGACAGCAGAAGCGCTGTATATATGGGCAAACAAGAACAGCTTAAACCGAAAGGATGATACTCAGTTAGCAGCTACTTGGCAAATATTCATTGACAAGTAATTGGGCCCTTTCTTTATTCAACCTGTTTATTTCACGTGCATCGTTATCTTGACTGAAGTTGATGTGAGTTATTTTTAGCAATACAATCACGCATTTGATGAATCTCATTTTACATACACATCAATGATTCAGAAACGATTTTTCAACTTTCACTTTTATTTTTTCCTTCATATAAAAACATTAACACCAAGTATCAATCATTAATAACCCAATCTTACACACACTATTCGTTTAGTCATTTATTTTCATATCGCGAACTTTTCAAATGATTCGCATTTAACTGACTCATGTTATTCTAATTACTAAAATCAACATCCAAATATGATTGGATTAACAGAGTATAGATTTGATCTGATTTCATTGTTAAAACGCTATATACTTCTTTGGTGATTTTGATTATTATCCTTAAGAAGTCCAGACAAGTTTGCTGGACGAAACGTCGGAATTATTTTGAATTTCAATCACTGAGATTATTTCAGATATAACTTTCACACATAATAACGAATTATTATTAGACTTTCCATTTTGTTAGTTATCTATTTCACTATGCCACGCAGTGAAATCTGACAACTTGAATTGATGCGCAAGTGTGTTGCATCCTACATTGCTGCCCATCACCAACCATTTTATACAAAAGGAAAATAAACCAAATGATCCAAGACTATTCAACACAATTTATAGATTTAAAATACCAAAAAATCTGATATAGTCGATAGTAATAATAATAAACGTAATCAGTTTCAATTATAATGATAGATACTGTATAATATAGAAGATAAATCGTATATAAATGGCAACAGCGATGAATTTTGAACTTGTTTAGTAATAATAAATACTGTCAAATAATGTGGAACAACAGATTATGTTCAATGAATAAAAAAAAGTAAATCGTGTTCATCTCTCTCAAGAACACCTAGAATGGTGTATAAATTGAAGAATAAAGGTGAAGTTTGCTTTGAACCATACATAAGTTATAGAAAAAGCTTAATAATCTTTCAAGGGATGAAAGAAAATATATATGTGAAGTTTTGAAGAATAACATCAAACGGTAAATATGTAAGACGTTTTGCGAATAACTATTCATGCTACTTATTACTCATTAATAGTAGTAGTAATTGTTAATGGTGCTGATATCATTGAAGGAAAATGAAATGTGCTGATGTAAGGGAAAAAAATTAGAATTGAACACAAATTACATTTTGTAGACATGTTTAAATAAAAAGAGAAAATAAAGGTAATTAATGAGGAAAGAAGCTAAAACTGAGAATGTTATTATAGCACTAAGGTAATAATCACAATAAGAGTATGTAGGTGATGGAATTATGTAGGAAGATAATATTTGCTAACGTTATTATTACTTTTCTCAGGGAATGAATCAGCTCCAAAGAAAACAAAATAAGAAACAGAACAACAGAGACATTTCCTTGAAATGTTTACAGAAAGACAACGTTATAGTTTGCAAAAATGAAATAATAAAGGTAAACATGATTGGATGAACAACTTCCCAGTACGGTGGGTAGAAGAGGCAGACGATGATGATGAAGGAAAGTTGTACATAGATAAAGAGAAAAAATACACTAAATACATGTATATATTACTTTACACACAGACATACACGAATGCATATTATACGAAGAATAAATATGTAACGAAAATAGAGGGAATAAATTAAATAAACACAATTCAGCAGGCGCTAACAAGTATGGAAAGCTGATGTGATATGGAATAGTAAGAAAATAAACAGAAAACGCGATAATCAGCTGAGGATCAGTGAAGAGAAGGAAGAACAACACAGCACCCAAAAAAGAGAAGTAAGCAACTGAAAAAAAGACTCATAGCACTAAACTCTTAAACAAATAAAGCGGTAGTAGTGATAGAAGGAGCAGCAGACAAAAAATCAAAAGGCAAGAAAAACTGACGGAGTAGCCAGTGTCATTGTATCAGGATTCAGCAGTAGTGAAATGAACAACAGAATACGAAAATGGTTAGCTACGTTTACATACAGGATGTGTCAGTGTAACTGAATAGGCACCAAGTACTGGAACAAGTGTTCGTGCATAATGATAAATCATTTGTGAAACACTTGCATACGGTTGACTATATTCTCCTAGAATAAATTGACCAGTACTATTTCGTGTAATTTTCATATGTAAGAAGGATTTATGTCTGAAGTGAAACATAATTACAAAAAAAGGAAAATCAAGCAGTGTTTATACCATTGGTATTAGTACAAATTATAGTTTTTTCAATTATATTGACTCTGTTATGATTTCTAACCGCGTTAAGCATAAAAGCCTAATCAATTTAAAATCATATGTGAAAATAATATGACAGACTGATACAAATTATTGTGCGACCTTTTTCTGACCTTTGCATGTTTCGTTGTGACTTTACTGATTGGATTATATTCGTGAACGTCTATACTTTTTTTATAGATATTTTTCCTTCTCTATTTTCACTTACGTACTTGTGTTGATTGTTCACTGTTAACGTCGAACATATTTTAATTGTTCTCATTTTGTGTGTCTGACATATACACTCTAATTAGTTATCTATAATTCATGCATTATTTACACCTTATATAAAAACTAAATCACGTATTGTTCACTAGGCAAGTTATGCAGTTACTCCTGTTTGCATCTATGCAACTTTCATATTCACTCGGTTCAGTTTATCGTGGTCACATGAATGTGTCTGAAATATACACGTCTTAAATGTAATTCGTATTCGGCTTTCTATTTCTATATTGTATAAACGTGGTTAGTCAACAGAAGATAGGCAATATGTATTTAATTAGCACAATCGTTTAGTCATATTAGTCAGAAAACAGGCACTAAAACTCATTCAATTGCTTAACTGCCAATGGCATGATCAAAGTTACTAAAAAACACTTTAGACATTCTAATTACTGTATGTATTAAAAACAGATGAGTAGGATTCAAGTAGGTCGTAAATTATCTAGTAGTAAATTGTACGAGAGGGATAAGAATTAATTCAAATATCCAACGAGAAGATGCATTCTGTGAAATCGGTGAGGTAGGAAGTAATAGGGGACAAATAATCACCGATAACATTAAATCATATCCAAACTATAAAAAGTGCAAAATAATTATAATTATTATGAGTAACTGGATTTAAAAGTGAGACATTAACGTTAACTAAGGCTTTACGATACTAATGCAATATCCCCGTTGCTGCTATAGTATAATGTAGCTTCGGAATAAAAATAAGACAGTTTCCAGTAAACTACCAAAAGATCTCAGTTAATTGAAACGGAAAATATCTTTTAATTACCAGGTGAAGCTGGGAACGTGAACGAGATTTGATTTACACTTGACATAATTTACAAGGTTCTATGTTTAATGAAAAACCCTTAGGTCCTGGGTCCAACCACAAGGAAGATTATAAATGAGCACTACTGATAAGTTTCATACACAAATACAAAACAGCTATTCTGTGCTGTCTTGTACTAATTGATTTATGAAACGCTAACTCTTCATGATGAAGACTAATATGTAAAGACGAAACGGCACAATATTTTACGCAATATGCAGAGTAGTTACTCGGCGGTTAAGGCACTCAACACTCAGCCATCAAGTCTCGGGTTCGAACAGCACTCTATCTATTTCGGTTTGGGAGACCAGGTGTTACCGCTGAACCTTATACTCAGAGCGTGGCTTGAAACCAAGTAAACTAATCTATACCTTGAATAACAGTAAACCACTCTTCACAATAAGGCGTTTCAAATAACTTGACAAATCATATTAATAATCATAATAATAACAGTAACTTACTTAATAGTTAGAGAAAAGTCATTAGGGCATGTTTCACTGGGACGAACAAGAAAACTACCTTCTGGTTCATTCCGTATTAGTTCTTCAGCTTCTGATCTTGTTAATGACGGATGAAACCATCTATTATTTTTTTTAGTAAAATATACACAACATTAATAGAAATACTGGTGGAAAAAATGTTATATTATTATTATTGACAAAAAGGAATTAATAGATAATAATACATAATAAAAGAATAAGTAATTATTAATTAAATTAATAAAGGAAATACGTTAATCGTACTATTAAGTTGAAACAAATAAATATCAGAAATAACTTTTTTAATATAAGCCACTAACCATTATTTCTAATTTGAAAACTTTGACATAAACAAACATGGTTAGCCTATTCACACTTGGAGACTGTCACTAGTGCGTATTTGATGATTATAATCAGAGAGGGGGTTTGTGGATATTATAGTAATTTAGCAGTTGAATTCACCATCTTATAGTAATCTAGCTTCAATTGACTCATGAATTCAACTACTAAATTACCATAATATCCACAAACCCCTCTCTCTAATTATAATCATCATATGCTCACCAGTCACGGTCTCCAAGAGGTATTTATTGGAGTTCTAGCGGGAAGCAATGATCAGTGGAGTTCAACCGGGTCTGTCGTGAGATAGTAACTCACTGATGACAATGGTGGACGGTGGCGCAATTTCGTGGATTGGTTGAAGTCAGACATTAAACACCGTCAGATAAAGGCTCAGTGGTCTAGAGGCCAAGCGTTCGCGCGCGAGACTGATAAGTTTGGGGTTTGAATCTCGAGAGGCAGGATCGTAGATGAGCACTTATGAGGAGTTCCATACTGGGACGAAACGGCCGTCCAGTGCTTCCAGGTTTTCCATGGTGGTCTAGCTTCAATTAACTCATGAATTCAACTACTAAATTATATACATATAACATTGAAAACTCTATCAGATGTAGTGAGTATCATCGCGGAAAAAAAGAGTAACTGAAGAAGATGGAAATATAAATAATTGTAGAATAATGACATAAACGTTTTAAAAGGATTATAAAATTGATTAAAATCCGTGATTACTTAGAACTTTACAATCTACACTAAAACACTTTTATCATAACACAATTAATTCCATTTTATTATTGTTTTTATGTTTTGAAAGAAAAAAACATGATCAAGTTAACTTATCTATCGTTAGGTGAATTGTTTATTTTAATTTGTCAGCTTAAATGATGATGATAATAAAGCTTATTATTATTAATATAATTTTAGAAAGAAAAAAAAACTAGGATTAATCTTGATAGTCAAGTTTTAGTAATAAGTGTTCTAACTTAAATATTTAATGAATTTCGTTTAGGTTTATTTTCTTAAATCTAATATTTTATTTATTATTTATTTTAACGCATAGATATTGGTACAAGGAGGCACCAAATACATATGCACTACACAGATCTCACTTGATTTGTGTGAGGGCTGTTATACTGCCCGGGTGCCCAAACCGAAGCAGGTGGTTATTTGGGGGACCCCGCACCCGAAGCCTTCGACCTGAAGGTCTGATCCATAAGGCAGTGGAGCATCGTAAGGAGATGGAGTCCCATGGTAGCCAGCCAGTGACCAACGATTGGTTCATACACCATTTGTTCCTTCAGGATCCTGAATCCCATGTTCACCATTGTTTTGGAATCAGGGTTTTTCAACTTCCCTAGGTGGATTCTCCATGTCCGCCAGCCAGGTTAAATCGCCGGACATTCACTTTTCGGCCTCTCAATTTCGTAAACAACACCCCGCCACGAGAAGGCAATGAGTAGGACTTCCCTGGCAGAGGCTATATACGCGTGGCCATGTGAGAGCATTTGGAGAGGGAGAGCGGACTCTCTCCACTCTTGGCCGTATCAAGGCATTTGGGGGCAAATTTAATATTTAGTATTTAAATATATAACATTTACTAAAAGGAAGTACATTTTACTGATATTTATCTGATATTCTTGCATTGAGAGAGGGATAGTTTTATTACGTCAATTTGATCTTTACAAATAATTGTTACTCGGTCAAAATTTAAATCCGTTTAGAGAATCTATTTTATATCCGAACAATATTCCTTTGCAACTGAATAAATCTGAATCATAAGTTCAGTCATATAATGTAACTAGAAAAGAAATATTGAAAGAGTGAAATTGAATTTGAATATGTAAATCATTAGATGTCAATTTAGTTATCTGAGGACTGAAATGGTCATCGTGAGCCTTGAATGACCAGAACTCTGATTGAATCGTGGATACACAATGTTGAGGAGAATCATGCTGGAACGAAACAGTTGTTCGATGCTTGTTAATTTTCAATAATTGTATAGTCACAGTCAATTCGTGATATAAACTTTAAAATTAGAATATTCATGTTCATCTCCTTACCATATATTGAATGTTAATCGTATAAAATTTGAAATTGATGAACTGAAAAAGAAAGGTTGACCACTGAGAACACCTCAATTTTGTAAGGTTGCAGACAGAATTTACATCAAGTTCTAGGTTTAGAAGGAAACTTAATTGAAATAAACTTCTTTAATATTTTGAAACAATACTGATAAACAACAATGACAAAAGTCATCTCTTTTATTATTGATCCAACGAAAAGATAACTATCAGAATGAGGATTTGTGGTGATTGTAGTAATTTCAATAGTTGAAAAGATAATTGTCAAATGAATTTCGATGTTGATTCGACTGGTGATACAGTAAATAAATAGACATTTTCAGTTCAACAGCTATGATAACAAATCTAATCATTGTATGTTTGTTGGGATATTCAGAAAAATATCCCAAAAATTATTCTGTTAAGTCTAGTGCTATCCTTGGACTTGAAATGATATCATTTTCCTATTGATCAATACTTATTTCACGTGTCATTTTCCTATTGGCCAAATATTGTACAAATGTTATTTTCTATTTAATGGTACGATGTGGTCTGCTTGATTGGTATATAAACAGAGTATGTTTGGAATATAATGATTCATATCGCAGAGGCTGAGACTTGTGTTCTGGACTTAACTGGCTGGGCTAGGTGGAAGGCGGGACCAATCAGAACTCTAGACTGCTCGTACGAGTTTACGCATCATTGTTCCGATCGATAAGTCACTGCTCTCTAATCGGCGGTCACAACTTATAACAATGTTTATGCTCATTGATCAGAAAATTTATCATATTTAAAAAGAAATCATATCTGGAAAAAACTACTTAATATCAGTTGATAGGAAGTATAAAACGGTGGGTAAAAAATAATAACGAAGTCATGTGAACAAAAAGGAAATGAGAGAATTATCTTCTCTTCCAAAAATAAAACAATAAACACAACAAACAAGAGAGTGGTAATGCACTTTTTTTCTGGAAAGCGTAAAATGTTTAACTAGTTAGTTAGACAGGGTAATAGAAAAATGGACAAAACATTCTCCACAAAAATCGATAAAGAAAAAAGGTAACACGATAAGGGCACTCATAACAATAATAATAACAATAATAATATCATATTCGTAAATGATACATTCATGTGTTTGTATGTCCAGGTACGTGTGGTTTTACTAGCACTTAATTTGATGGACTTTTTTTATTGGTGTCTAACGGTACCTTATCAACTTTTTTGAAAATGATTGCGAAAAGACCTGAACATTTAACTAAATAATATAAAATAACTTTACTAAATAGAAAAATAATTATTTACGATTCAGAATCATATAAATTTATGCATGGTAACTGATATTTAGTTAAATGTAGACAATATAGTTAGAAATCTATTTATATATATATAGATAATTTACAATATGTTTATGTAAATTATTATTATTATTAATGGTTTTATTCAATATTATATTTTTGATAGAATTCTTAGCATAAAGTACTTCAACAAGTTTCCTTTCTTATTTCTTGAACTATCCTAATGATAAATAGTGAGTGATCGCTATGATGTCTCTGATTGTACATTTTTGTAGCTTGTACAGCAAAAGGTCGTAAGCTTTTCATAAACGTGTCTGTATAGGTTGTGCGATTAATAGATATAATGATGTTATTATATTCGGACGAGAATAAGTGAATAGTAAACGGCGATAATTATTTATGGATTGATTTTATGTATATATTCTTATTGTATAACTGTTGAAAAACGAAAATACATGTGTTTATATTCCTCTTATTATAAACTTTTATTTGACCTATTAGATAATGCCATATGATTTACTATTCTCAAGTTATTCTCAGTATATTGGTCACAGTTTCTCACAATCACAGCCACTTTTTTGGCTTGATCTTACTTACTTACACCTGTTACTCCTCGTGAAGGAGCATAGGTCACTCACCAGCATTCTCCATCCAACCCTGTCCTGGGCAATCCTTTCTAGCTCCGTCCAGTTGTAATTCATCCTTTTCATATCTGCTTCTATAATCCGACGCAATGTGTTCTTTGGCCTTCCTCTTTTTCGCTTCCCTTCAGGGTTCCAAGTTAGGGCTTGCCTCGTGATGCAGTTTGACGACTTGCGTAATGTATGTCCTATCCATTTCCATCGTCTTTTCCTAATTTCCTCTTCAGCTGGAAGTTGGTTTGTTCTCTCCCATAGAAGGCTATTGCTGATGGTATCCGGCCAGTGGATACTTTTTTGGCTTGATCTTGCACAAATGTTATTTTCTATTTTATGGTACGATGTGGTCTGATTTTGTTTATATATAAACCAAGTATGTTTGAAATATATGATTCGATATAACGGAGACTGATATTTGCGTTCTGGACTGAAGCGGCTAGGTTGAACGAGATGCTATCTCAAGGACTAATAAGAAATCTATGTTGCTCGTACTGGTTTATGCGTCATTGGTCCGATCGATAAGTCGGTGACTTTAATTAGTGGTCGTATCAAAATAATGATTTTTTTGGCCTTCAGAAATCCCTGGTCCCACTAGCACTACAGTTTGTTCAAGCGATAGCCCATATGATCAGTCAAGCATAATAAACCACAATCTATGCAAATCCAAAATACACAACATCAATAAGGAAGCTCTCGGTTTTTTTTATACTCCATACTCCCTTTTTAAACTTATTACTTATCAATGCACGTTCACTTCTGAACAAAATTTCAGCCTTGAGAACATTAGCTTTTCTAGCCAAACCTTCTTTCATCCTTATCACTGAAACATGGTGCTCTCAAGCAGTATCGGATTCAGAATTGAATATCCAGAACTATCGACTCTATCGCTGTGACAGAGAAACTAAGCGAGGAGGTGGTTGTATTATATATGCTTTGGATACCCTAACAACTAATAAAATTGAAGATAGTGTTCTGAATAGTTTACCAGAATCAGTCTGGATATCAGTCAACACCCTGAATCATAGCCTACTCCTTAAATGTATATACAGAGCTCCTGATGGTTTGAATAATGGGAATGATCTTATTATCAATGCATTCATACATGCATATTCTATAAACTTTAATGCTAAGGTTATCACTGGGGATTTCAATTATCCTGGGATTAACTGGAGTACCGGTAGTTGTCAGTCATGTAATGATGAGTTCTCGGCAACTATTAAAATGCACTGCTGGTCACAGTGGGTTCGTACCCCAACTAGAGGCGATAGTATACTCGATCAAATATTTAGTACAGATGTCATCCCACTATCTGTAAAAGCATACGATGAATTTGAAAGCAGTGACCATAAGATAGTAGTTTGCACTCTCCCTATCTGTCCCTCTTATAACCGACCCATTCAAAAAACCTGTCAATATAGAGACTATAAGCATGCTGACTGGGACCTCCTGCATTCACCGATTAAACTTTCAGACTGGGATAAGTTTTTTTCATGTAATAGTCTCATGGATGCTAACGATCATTAACTGATCGTTAACTCTTGTTTAGATTCCTGTGTACGTCTTGAAACGTACAGGTTTAGTAAACCTTACGAATTATATATACCAGCTGAATATCGTAATAAACTAAGACTCATACAGAATCGTTATTTTAAGTCAAACGACTTCACAGCAGTTGAACGAATAACAATAATTTTTAATCAAATTAAAGAGAAACATGAGTTAAAAGCCATTAATGAGGAGATACTAGCACTTAATACTAACTCAAAGGTACAAACCTTAACTCTCCTTTTCAATAAACGTGCCAAAGCAACTTAAAATGTTGATGTACCATGCATCCAGCATAATAGCAATTTTATATACGACTCTAAAACTATAGCAGACCTTTTCAGTGGTATATTTGCGAATGGTGTAGGAATCATAAGTGGCTCTGCTTCAAGAGTTATGTGCGTGACTAGCAACTCAATAAAATCTATCTCCTTCACATGCATGAAAATTAATAAGGTTATAAATACCCTTAAGCTTTCAAGAGGTCATGGGGTTGACGGGATTTCATCCTTCTTCTAGAAATATGGTGGTCCAGATATTCCACTTCTTCTTCTAAAGCTGTTTACTCTCTCTATAGAAACTGGTTCTTACCCTAACTGTTGGAAAACCGCGTACATCATACCACGTTACAAATCTGGAGATAAGACTGACATGAACAATTACCGGCCGATAAATATTACTCCAGTTATTTCTAGGATCATGGAAAAAATTATAAGTGATGAACTTTCCAACTATATGCTCGCTGGAAAATTTATCAATGATACTCAACATGGATTTCTTAAAAATTGTTCTTGCATGACATATCATTTTGACTTCTTTAATTTAGTCTATTCTCTACGCAGCCAAGGATATCCGGTTTTAGTGCTATATCTGGACATTTCCAAAGCCTTCGACATGGTTAGCCAGCAACTCCTTATAGGTAAACTCGCCTCTTATGGGGTTCGAAATCCTTTGCTAGCTTGGTTTGATTCCTTTCTCAGCAATCGACATCAAATAGTTAAAATTAACTCTTCATTGTGTGACGCTGTCCCTGTTAGAACTGGTGTAATACAAGGTAGTATCTTAGGCCCTTTGCGCATTTTAGTGCTTATCAATGATATTTGTGAAAGTTTTTGTATGGGTAAGCCCCTCCTATATACAGATGATCTTAAAGTAGTATATTCATTTTCTCCACATGAGCTGAAAAATATGCGAAATTGCATCAGCATGGAGCTTAACAAGGTAGCACAGTGGTGCTTAAGATGGCAACTGGAGTTTATTACGACTAAATGTTGATGGATATGCTTCGGCGATACATCACTCAACCTACACCTTACCATAAATGGAGAAGTGTTATCTAGGTTACATAGAGTAGTAGACTTAGGACTTAGATACTCCCAAGACTTTTCGTTTACAGAACAGATATTGAAACAGACTTCTAAGTCTCAACGTCTAGTAGGTTACATAACTCGAAACCTTTATAACAATGAGTCACGTATTTTAATGTACAAAGTTTGCTTTCGACCTCTTCTAGAATATTGCACGTTTATTCTCACCAGTGCACGCACAAATGATAAATTATGGCTGGAACCAGAACAGAGACGATTTACACTTCGTATTCTTGGAGCTGATTGTACCTTAACTTATAATTCTAGATGTAATAAACTTTGTTGGAACCACATGAAGTTTATGCTATCAAAGATTCTACAATAAAAACTGTGTTAAGTATCATTTATGTTGATGTCCGTCTTTATTTTGATCTCTGTTGATCGTTTCATGTTTTGTTAACATTGAAAAGTTTCCATTTGACTCATTATACAGAGAGGCTACATGTTTTTCTGGAATTGAACGTCACTTACTTTCATGATTTGTAAATTCTTGTATACAACTTATTATCCCTTACTGTCGCCCATTATTCTTTCATGGATTTTGAAAAACGATTGCTGAAGCTAATTAACAAGGTATGTGGTGAATCTTTTGTTTTCGTTATTTATATGGTTATGAATAGACACTTGAACTCTTGTAAACATCAGGAGTGTAATTTTATCAGACATTAACCAATCACTCCATTTACGCTTTTCTACTTGTATATCTCCTGATAGAACGAGACGATGATACATTACAATCCACGCACGCTAAAAAAGCACGAAAGCTTCACAATACTGTATCTAGCACACAAGCTATGCAATAAGCAGGCTATAAAGGATGACTTAACCTAAAACGTATACTCTTCAGCCTGTTGCTTATCCACTCTGACGCAGACTTCCACATTCTTGGAAGAACTTTTACTTAATTTTCATTACTTATTTGGGTATGGATGTCAATAAAAATTTATTGTGACTTATAAAAAGAATAAGAGACGTTTGTTGAAACGTTGTAAGTTGGTTAGTAGTTAAGTATCTCATAGTTTTATAGTTTCGTGTATTTTAGAAGAAATTCCCACTTTCTCCACCGTCTTTTATATATCATTATGATAAGTGTCTTTAAAATTAAGCAGGCTTATTCGAATGTTGGAGATTAAATGACTGTCACTCACAAGATGAAATCGTTTTCTTTTGATCATCAATCGATAATCATTAAATTTCACTGGTTCGCATAATAATTTATTGAGACTGGTAAAATTTATTGGTCAAACTAGTACTATACGGAAATTAGATTCGGGTTACTACAGTTATCATATTTTGTTAGTTAATTAACAGACTATCAAACAGAAATAATAAAACAGGACCTGTAACCCGATGTACGTATGAACAGGTGATGTATCAGTTCAATTAACACATAGTTCTGATTCGATCCAATATGACAGATTGACAAGAAATAAATCTTTACAATAATAATGAAAAGTTACGGTTATAATTATTAAAGAAATGAATAAATGAAATGAAATATAAAGGTATGAGTTAACCGGTTCATCTTCAAAATAAGTTGAAGTACTCACAAACAAGAGGTTGTTATTAATTTAATTAGATAATTGAATAAAAAACTGTTATTGTGGAAAAGAACTTTATATATAACTATTTAACCAGCCAACTCATTGAATAATGACCAGCAGAAAACTATGCTCACATATTCTCGAAGAAAATTTCACTATAACAATCCTTAAGATTATTTAGTCAGATAAAGAAATAAGTAGTTCACAAAGGTAAGATCATAAGAACATACTCTCTTTCAAAGATTTCTTAACTGTGAACAACTTAATCAGAACACATGTATTTATATTTAGGTTTATTTACTATAAAAAAAGTCGGATATTGCATTTTATGCATAAACTTTACACGGTTTATAAAAAACTTTTTTCGCATTTTGCAAAATGAAACACTCATCTACATACTTTCATATAACATTGACCGTCTAGAGACTATGAAATGCATGTGAAGAACTCTTACAACCAATATCTTCATATTGTTTTGATTTTCTTAGCAGGAATTTAAGAATTGACGTTAACAGAATCCCTAGATTGCACCTACCAAACACCATGGTAGTCATATCAAATTCAGTGATAAAATTTCACTTTATAACGAAGTTTCAGTAATCCAGTCCAAAACAGTGATAATTATTAGTATGAGGATTTGTGGAGATTGTAGTATTTTAACAGGTGAATTAACGAGTTGATCTAAGCTAGACCACTAACGATGTGCTAAATGGTTTAGTGTCAAGTGATACCTAACAAACAAAAATCATATGGATTTCTGATATACTTTCTGGATCATGAGTTTTTGAAATTAAATCATAAATATATATCATTTAAAATGGTCGTTACAGTAACAGCGTTAAACTGACAAATAATATGTAAGGGTATCGGCAACCTGTTTTTACTTTTTATATAAATGATTAAAAAAATTTTAAAAGATCATATCTAGTGTTCAAAACCAAATTCTCCCTTAACTCTCAAAAACTAAACAGTAAAAACATATTAATTGATATTAAAACATAATACTTACGGTTGTTCTTCAAGTGACAATGTTTCCAAATGAGGAGGTAAACCCTTCGGTAGGTTATTTTGACTAGATAACAATTTATTCTTACTAACTGAATTCATTGAGTGATGTAAATTAACATTAGATGAAGGTAAGTGATCAAACACCTGTGTCATAGAACTGGCACAATGAGAAGGGGGAGCAACTGACGTTATTACTACATGTGAGGCCATCGATACTGATGATGACGATGACGACGAAGAGGTGGAGGAAGACGTGCATGATGAGGAGGTTGACGACAGGCTAGGAACTGTAAGCATATTTGTTGCAGAAGAATTACAAGTTTCAGAAGTCAAGAAATCATTATTCACTTCCATTATTGTAGTTGTTGCGTTTCCAGATTTACCAGTGCTTGAAATAATAGTACTAGGATCTATAAAACGTCCACCTGCAAATGATATTTTGAAACATACAAAATAGGATAATTCTGATTTATTATCTGGAAACTAAAATAATCACTCACTTGATGACAATGGATGATGAACGTGCTATAATCATGAATTAACTCAAGTTGGAAATGTAGATCACTCTGTGTTGACTCAGTAGTCTGAAGGTAGGTTGCTCTCTGAACAGCTTAATATTTCTAGGTTTGACTACTGGTGATGTCGAGGTTGCACACTGTTAAGTCCTAAACTGGGAAGTAATAGTTGTTCTGCTCTCCCCTACTAATAATAGTTCCCTATATAATGTCGATTTGTGACAAAAGCCATTATATCATAACCCCAGACTATATGAATTCATCTCGTCCAGAAGAATGAAACGATTTTAAAAAATCACACTTAATACACATTATGGATAAGTCTAAAAATCAAAAGAGTTCATCATATAGAGTTTGCTGAAATCATATGAAATGTGAACACTATCTATCAACAACTAGGAATCATTAAAACTCCCTATTTCTTATATTTAGATTAAAATCAAAAGGGAAATTGATTAAGTTATAACTACTCACTATTCATTTATTTGTTATTCTAATATTTCATAAAATTTTATAAAACTAAATGAATTTAACATGAGAATAATCATTATTTGAAATAGATACGGTCAAAATATTGCTGCTTCCATGTTTATTCGTTTCTTACAACAGTTTTTTTTCATCATATGACATAATTATTTGAGTGAAATGAGTTCCGATATAATTACTAACACACAGAAGATGAAACTTTGTATAAACTAGTTAGTTGAAATAGTATTTGATAATTATCTCATCTTAATTAAATGAGAATCAATTTTAGAACTGTTAAGGTCTTAAAAAATACTAAATAATTGCTATGAAATCATTGAACAGAAAATTGACTATCGGTACTTTTTTTTCTAAACAATTTACTCTGGGCATAGTGAAATATTTCAATTAAATTCTTTATGCCAAAAACATGTAACATTAAATATATGACGTCATAATGAAACAGATCAATACTTAATTATTATATCATTTAAATTAAATTATCAGTGATATTACCAAGGAAAAACAGATTGAATTTCACATGCAAAGATAATTAAATAGAGTTCAGAAAGATTTTCTTTTATGCTAAATAATAAAACTCTAATAAACTTACTCATTAATTTAGAAACTAATCGACCATGTTGAGCATCCCAAGAATCATCACAACTACTTGTAGAAATGCTATCGAGATCATTAGATAAAACTGATTGTACAGGACGAGTAGTCAAATTCAATTTTAAATCACTACCATTAGTATTTTTAACTGAAATGAATTTACTAGACTCTTGTAACTGACCAGAAGAAGATAAACCATGTTGTATAAGCTGATGATGGTAATTTGGATGGTGTTGATGATGTGATGAAGGTGGAGGAGGATTTAAACTTGACTTTACCGTTTTAATCATTGTTGTTGTAGGTGTTGTTGTTGCATTACTATACTTTGGTATATTTGGTAGTAAAGATGTATCATTTGATGAACTATTGATGGCTAGATCTAAACTGAGCTAAATTTAAAAAAAGCACAATAATCATAAGAATAAATAACTATAGTTACATTGTCTATGTACAATAAGTAGATTATTTTTAAAAGAAAAACAAAGGGGAACAATATTGATCAAATTAATGTCAGTCAGTCAGCAACAGAAATTCGTACGTACGTACATCAGTTCAAATATAGTTTCAAAAATGTTTGCATTATCCTTAGACAAAACGAGTAACCAGTAAGGTTCATAAGTTTTACTGAATGACATGTGAAGTTCAAGCCATACTGTAAATACAGTAAAATGTACATATATACACACATATGTCAACATTTGTAGTGTCCATTCGCAATAGAATTTATGCAGTATGATAACGCATTCCTATCACTAAACTGTATGCTGTAAAAAATGCTGGATCAAAGTTTACAGTATGTGAATCTACTGAACAACATTCATTTATTCTTAAGAAGAGCAAACAAAAGATATATTATGGAAGGAAATTACACATAATCGAGGCATCTTTCTACTATAATTCAATTATGCTTTGCTGCTAATTGTTTAGATTTTAAGACGACGAAATATTGTTAGTTTATAATTAGACAATAATTTAAAAGTGTTCTTAACTCCGCTGAAAACTGAACCCAGGAGCTTTCGTTTCTCACCGTGGGCGCATAACCTTCAGACCAATGAATAGATTACACAATGGTTTGCACATCTACCTTCAATGAATGGTTGTTTGAGTTCAATCTGTAATCTAAACTATGAAATTTAATGATCTCTACAAAACCCCACTATACTGAGAAGTATATTTCAGAAGAACCTGTTTAAAATCGCAAAACAATGAAGAGTTGCTTCATCCTAGTTTGGTACTACTACTTATGGAAACTCCAATCAAAACCACACACATGTGATAGAACGAAGTACTTTAAAATTTCGCAACAACTTTGATATTTCTAGGTAAATGAATTGGAAGAATACAATGATTCAAAATTTAAACAACTTCCATAAGTTTGTATTGCAAACTTCGCTCCTGATTTAATGTTGTTTGTTAGTTACAGTTATACCAATGCGCATTGTTCATTCCGTAGATATAGTTTCTCAATAGGATTTTCATTAAAAAATCTTATCTCAGAGTTAATCTTCAGTAAGTACAAGGTGAGATTATTTGACAGGATGATTTTGTGGAAATGTAATGTTACAGTTGTAACAACCAGTGAAAATTAGACTTCAGTGCGTTAAATCGGTGTTCGTTCATGATGAAAAATACTTACAAAATACGTACAAACAAACAATACCAAAAAAGCAACACCATAATATCACTTCACTTAATTTTTATGAACATATAATATTGACTTCTACGAATTTACACAAATTCTCAAAAACAACACGAAAAGGTCAAATTTGTAAAACACAACAAAACCTAAACCAATTCGTTTTAGTTGTTATTGCCATTTTGGGTAAAAATTAGTGTAGAGGAATTAAGAAGAAGTAAAATTCACCAGGAAAAAATCCTTTAATATACAAGTCGCATCAATTATATCACAATGTTTAAGGTCAAGAAAACAGCAGCTAACCAATGACTAAGCGGTAACTTATAATAGAATGGCTACGCGATATATTACATGCTGACACTGACGACAAGAAATAGACATATTATAATCAAATGAAAATAACAGCTGATTATTTCCTAAATACACACATATCTATACATGTTGATATACATAAACACATGTACAATAGACGAACAAACAGGAAAGCGCACTCCTATAACTAAGGATTTACTAGTTCCAATGACCAAAAATGAGAGAAAACATGTTAATATTTCAAGTCACAGAAGAGAAAAACACAACGGATAATTAAGAAGTAAACATTAAATCTAAAATTACAAAAATATTCTTAAAAATCTAACTTTTAAACTGAACACAAAGATATAAGAATATCACAATAAGTCGGAAAATGAGCTTAAGCAAATGATTCACATTCGGATTAGCATAGATTAAGTTATTTTTAAATCAGCTAATTGAAGAATCTGTGAATAATATTGTAGTGAATGAAAACTCAGATCCAGGACAACCAATTCACTTTTTATTACAAAATTACAGAGTCCTTCCATAAAATGTGAAAAGCATACATCAAACACTTCATTTGCAAATCAATATTAAAATAATATTTGGGAAAATAAACGGAAATACTTTTTCACGTAGCATCACTGCTATCCTCCTACTCTTATTTACACTAACATTAAATTTTGTTTGAAATTACATATGATCTATCCCAAGTTATTTACAAGTCAACAATTAACTGATTATTAATAATTTCCGATGAAAAACCAGTTGATAATAAGTACAGAGTAAGTCCTTTGAATGGAAAGAATATATATAGAAATGAGGTTAAAACAATTTAAACGAACTTCAGCCACTTTTTAGCCAATCAAAAAATAACCTTGATATATGAGTAGTTCATGGTAAGTAAAGAATAATATTAAAAAAGTTTAACATATTTTACATAATAAATCTATTGAAGTTTACGACAGTGTATTCTATATGGATATAGACTATCTATCTTTCCGAAACTCTATAAGGACGTATATAGATTTCTAAAAGTCCTCACATTGTTTTTGGTTTGGGACAAACGGGTGAGAAATAAAAGTTTAGAGTTAAAGTCATCAGGTTAGGTGGTATGTGAACAATGTTGATCTGTATGATGTATACAGTCTAAATAGGAAGACTTGAGCATTTGATACCTTAAACACTATTTTTACTCTATGGTAACAATAATATTGCTTTATCAATTTGAGCGTTTTGAGCACGATGCAAAAATAATTTTAATTTTTGTTTTAAGTGACACAAGATAAAAGTCAGTTCTTTCTAAATTTAGTGTGAAAATCCAAAAGTGGTCTGTTCGATTCTGATTGGCTCGTTGGTATAGTGTACTTTTACCAAACATATGATGTGTTATCGGTATATGGTTTCCTGAGGATTATGGAATTTTCAGTTTAAGTCACGAAGTGACCTAAGCTAGATAACCATTCAAAACTAGGAAGTACTGGACATCTGTTTCGTTTTAATATAGGACACTTCAGGAGTGCGAATCTGCGACGCGCCACGAAATATCAGACCCAGGATCTTCGGTTTCCTACGCTCACTTATTAAACCAATACGGAAGTATTACATTGATATTATTCAGATAACTATATTCCCTAGTTTTGGTCTACTTGTGGAATCCTATGATTCATCTGAAATAAAACTGAGTCATAAAGTATGTGTCTAAATATGTACCTAATTAAACGTTTGAATGTATATGTATGCATGTTAGCAAGTGAGTAAGAAAATAAGTATATGTGTGTAAATTGAACCACTAAGTAAATCTAGTTCATAAGACCCCATCACTGAACTAAACAAATATGTTAAAAAATAAGTTACACTTTACTGTAACAGATTCTAAATTATAATAACACAATATATACTCCAATCCTGTCCAACCCTTAATCTATATATCTAAGCAACTAAAATAAATGTTTGCACTGGATATTTACCTGGTAAGTTATTTTATATCTCCCAACTAGTCAATTCTAAAAAATGTTCTATCTATCTGTTATAAAATGAAATCAGGGTCATTAAATATGCAACATAAATGAAAGACAAGCTATTCGATCCAATTTAACTACGACAACAATAGTTCAATTCATTTTGTATTGTTTTTTGAGTCTTCCCATTGATGTTAAGGACTGCAGTTGATCAGTCTCTTATTGGCATATGTGCATCCTGTGCGGATTGCCTCGATATTGCCTTAAGTCACAAGCGTTATGAGAAGAGATGGATGGTGGTTAGTAGTGGAAACCAGAACTTCTACGTGTTGAACAGTTCTACGGTTAGACACAAGGTTTAGTTTATTAAAATAAACCGTCCGATAAATCTAGAAATTTATGTTGGTTACAGGGTTCATGGCATTTCGAAATAGTAAGTTGTAAAAAATGACTTTTTCTGGCGGAAGATTTTATGAGGTGTTATGAAGGACATTAATAGAACTAATGTATCAGAAAAGATTTTCGAACTCTACATTTTAAGTAAAAACCATTAAATAGAAAATGATGATATGTGTATGTTCGAATTCTTTTCTCATATAAGATTACTAGTTACGGGTGTTTACTTAGATGTTCGAGCATTTGACTTCCAGGCAATAAATTACAGACTCCACCTTCCCACCTATCTCAGCTTTGAAATGCTGGCGGTATAACTGGTCCTCAAGCGGAAAATGTGTCTTATCTGTGACAGCTTATGTTTAGATTCCGTGTTTTGGATTTAAACAGTATTAGTTATTAGCAATAAGTTCCCAGTAGCACCTAACAGGCATATCCAGATGAAGAGTCCCAAATAGGACGAAATGCATGTCCTGGATTCCACTACTAACCACCATCCATCTCTTCTCATAACGCTTGTGACTTAAGACAATATCGAGGCAATACGCACAGAACGCACATATGTCAATAAGAGACTGATCAACTGCAGTCATAAACATCAATGGGAAGACTGGAAAAACAATACAAAATGAATTTAAACTTCACCCCATTGTATAAGCTATTGGCTATCAAGACTCAGTAACTAAGTGGATAACATGATGGCGTTTGAAGCGAACAGCATTTGGCCTGAGTCCTGGAGTGAACTTCAACTCTGAGATACAGGTATGTCCAGCTGACGAGTCCCAAAATATTGACGAAACGCGCTTCCTGGATTCCATTGCTAGCTACCATCCCTCTTTGCTTACAATGGTTCAATGTTTTCTGAGATAACTTAAAAATGACTTGAATGTCAGAGCAGAAAAGTGTTCCATAGAAAAAGGAAAAGCAGAAAACTATCTATCCACCTTTTTGGCTTCAAACCTACAGACAAATAGATTTGAGTGAGTCTATTATTTAAAAAAAAACAATCAAGCATAATATTCAGTAGTTGAAGTGAAAATGAAATTTGGTTAGTAAATCGATTTTATTGGCTCAGTTAATAGATTATAAAACAAGACTCTTATAGGCCTTTTTTAAGTTAGAATATTAACAATCTCCAAATTTTCAACTTTAACCATTATCCTTGTATATAATAAGTAATTTGTTTGTTTAGTGTTAACTGATACGCTGGATACCGGATTCTCACTCATTAATCCGTTTGACAAATCGTACTGACATTGAAAATGTTTATTTAAACTAAGACTTAGGCGATCCAGCGTAAATACATTCTTCCGATAACAATAAGAGAATAGAATAGAGAAACAAACAAATTAATGCAAAGTACATATTTGATGAACAAAGAATCCACGGTTAAGAATGAATATATATATATATATATATATACAACACAACCGATGCCAATCATTTCATTTTACATCTCAAGTGGAATTCTCTTTTAACTATCTTTACATAAAAATAAGTACAAATGCATATTTTGAAATACAATAATTATTTTATTAGAAATGAAAGTATTTTTGAAAACACTTTTACAGTCATCTATAATTCTTAAATTACAGGGCTAAAAGAAAACTTAGCAATTGGAAATATGAATGACAGAATGTCAACTTGTTGATTTAAGGGTGATACATCGTAATGAGGCCTGAAGGTTTCTGGTTCGATCGCTGGTAAGTACATGTGTGCGCAATGCAACTATATTCCATATTAGAACAAATTATTTGTCCAGTACATCCTGGTTTCCAACATTTATAGAAATAAAGTTGATCCACGACATAAAATGTTTTTAGATTTGTACATTTATTGCAAAATTATTGAGTTATCGGAAGAAAACTGATTGAATAGTTTTTGGAGCTAAGTAAATTAGTATGAAGGGATTTACGAAATGTTAATGATATTACACAACTACATAAAACGAAGTAATTGTTTTCGCACTCTACTCTGTACTGCAAAATGGGAAGTTTAAATACGGTTCTTAAACGAGGTTTTAATAAATCCCATAGATGATATTAAATGGATAATCTAGTGTTCACAATCATGGATATACTACACACATTGTTAAATGAAAGATACGATTCATTTTAGAGTTTTACATTAACAAGTAAACAGTGCGTAAGGTTTCGCTCATAACATCATTGTGATCGAATGCGAGTCAATATTTACCTCATGATTTTCGTTTTACAATATTTATTTTCAAGAATAAAACAGAAATATATGGAATTTTGTAGCCTAATTGTTCATGTGTTGTGAAATCAATGGGCGATAACCATTAGAGGGATTCGAAATTTATTACATAGTGCAATCCTCGTTTCATTCGTTTTTTCTTCTAAAGTATACGCGTACTTTGTTTTATAATGCACTCATACTCGTACTCTCAGTCAGTTATGGAAAATAGCTTACGCTATCCACTATTACGATAATTTATTAAATTAACATCTTTCAAAACCTATAACAAATTGTCTCTACACTGACAACTAGATATGATTCTATTCATAATAATACGAAAAATAGTAATAGTAGTAATAATAATAATGATAATGATAACGACAGAGTACATTAAAATGAAAAAATCTGTTGTTATGATATACTCCAGAGTTCAAATCGAATACAAACTATTCATTTTCAATAGTTTTCTTTAGAAGTTTAAGTCATTTAGTTGTGAACAACATGAAGTTTGGTAATAAGTACGCATTAGTTCAAGTTGATACATTTCACAACAGTACAGGAAGAGAAAATAAAAATGAGTAGGAAATCTGAAAATAACATGAGCAGTAGTGAAAGTAAAACATAAGAAACATATTTTCGTAAGAAATGTTGATGAAATAATGAGTTAAAATTTGGAGATAATATTAAAACTCAAGATTTAGGGGAATATTAAAATTAAATTTCACCAACGTTGCGCGGTATCGCTTAAGGTCCCCAAACAAAAATTACGATTATCCTGACTTCAACCAACAAACTAGTACCTCTTAACATACATTAAAATAATATTTCATGACTTCATATACTGTTACCGTATTTTGATCTCCTAGCACTCAAAGGTTTTCCAATCTATTCTTCTGTTGTTCAACAACGCACGTTGTGATAGGTTGTGTTTAGGAAGCACATACGTGAACCACTTAGGATTGGTTAATATATCATTTATCTATTTAGAGTCAAATCAAGAATCAAGTACCGATTCGCTATTTTATCTTAAGTTATACTGTTGGTAAGTCCGTTGCAAACGGAAGTGTAGAATAATGGTTTTAAACATTATAAACCAGGAAACTAAATCTGGATTAAATTGATGTCATATAAGACGACATAAACGTTCTACAGAATGCATATATAGAACGAGGTGAAACCAAAAAAGACTTACTTTGACACCCATACTCCATGAACCATTATAAGCGTAATCATATTCACCGTTGTTTTCTGTTTTTCCACTTAACTAAATAATAAACCAATAGAAAGAGATAAAATAAGATTAGTACAAACTGCCAGTAACAACAGTTTAAGATTACTCATTTAAATTACAGAAAAGAGAATTTTAAAGAAGAATCCTAGGATAGTTTAGTGAAAACAAAATGAAAGAACTTCAAAAACTAATTATAGGCTGTAATGAATCCCATTGATTGGAGTTAAAACAAGTGATAACTTCCTCTTACTACTGGACTATATATAAACAAATAAACACGTATACTTGATTTTTGTTATCCTTCAAAACCGGAGAAAGAATATAAAATATAATCCATAATCTATTGAAGTTTATAAACAACAATTTCATTTTACAACAGTGTAGCAAATACTGACCCCACTGTATGAATAGCTTAACAATAATAAATTCAATGATTGAGACATTGTGTGAAACTCAACGCTACATTTCTCCAATAAGTCAAGAATTGTAACCAAAGTCAGATCTATGCCCCGTTGATTACAAGCAACAACAACAACAAAAACACTAAATGGAATCCGTCGTTGAAATGTCGAAGTATCCCCACTGAATTGAATGATATAACAAAATCATTAAAATTATTATATGTTTACGTCAAAATTCTTAGTATTATCTATTTGGAGAATTACAAATAGCAAAAAATTATAATTGTATTGACCAATTTATTGAATAGATAAAATTTATGAAAAAAATCTTGTAGATCACTTTTGGCATGGATACTATATATTTGTAGGACACGAATAAAACAGATATTCAAGGCATATTAATGGGTTTGCATTGTTTTTGCTTAGAATCCTTTTTTCAATAAAAACTTTTCAACTACCCTTTATCAGTGTTATTTCTGGTAGATTTCAGTTGACCAATGACCAGCATTGATTTACAATATTATATTGTACAATTTATAAAATATTGAACTGACCACCATCTGGATGGTATAAATGATGATTGATAATGATGTTTTAACCATGAACAGAAGTAGCGTTTACGGCATTCAGGAGTGGAGGAAATACACGGAAATTACAACGAATGATTTCTGAGTTTGATAATGACTGAAAGACGAATTACTTGTACCAGTCTTTTTTTAGACTTACTGATTCAATTTACCATGTGTAACAATTTGCATTAACCGATATTAGAAAAATTTACTTTTCCATATACATGAACATTTAATAGGATGGCTAAGAAAAGGGGAGCTTTGCAATGTAAAAAATGTGAACTAATAATAGGCCAATGATTAGTCACTTATTATCAATAATCTGCCGTGCTGAGTAATTTGTCGAAGGCAGTTATACTCCTGATTACACAAATGGCAGAATCCAATGTCATACGAATAAAATAAGTTGGAAGGTGGATTTAAAAAATAGATTTTACTTCTGTCTTTACACCAGTTATCTCATCAAACCCAACCAATTGATGATCAAATACGCTGTAAATAAAAACTACTTCCCCTTACCGACTTTGAATTATCACTATTTAACTTTATCCATCCAGTTTGATGCATATCACAAAATATATTGCGAAGATTGACTTCGCATTCCTCCTATTCTTAACGCTTGTTTAGTACACGTCATTTTATCCACATTACGTAATCTCTGATTGGACATTTGATTTATTCACTAATTATACAATTGTTTTATTAATCTCCATTTATTCATCTGACAATCTTCCCACATTAATAATCTGTCTAAAGTAATATTGATCTACAAACTGTTTTTTAACTTATGGTCTTCAATTTATGTTTTGTATTTAAATATTTATTCCAAAAATGTGTATTCGTCTCAAGCCTAATTGTTTTAATTTTTCGATTAATCTACAGTTTAAAAAACTGATGAGAATCTATTGAAAAGAACTTTTTCATTCATTCATATATCTCTCCGTACAACAAAATGACATCGAAATTGATTCTTACATCTACGTCCCATAAAAAAAGTGCATCTAAATGATATAATACATCATAAACACTAAGAATGAATAACATCAAATCCTAAAAACAGTTATCAACCGTTAGACATAAATGTTAGGGATTTTGAAGTAGACAAAAGAAAAAAATTGATATAATAGTTACTAAAGTTACAAACGCTCAAGTAGGACAATCGACTATATCTTGTCTTTTGATATTACGTGTTTGCAAGTGATCAATAGTTAACCGATCATATTATCTCAGACACTAATAATAGTTATCATTGATAAAAATAAGGGGAAAATATTACTAGTTAACCAGCACAAATTACAAATGCACATAAATACATGCATCCATACACTATGAACACTGATGATGAAGATAAATATTTAAAAAAAAACAATTCACGTAGAATTATGCAAAAAAATCTGAACGAATATAAAAACTACAAAATGAACTACATAAACATTTAAGGATAGATTGGAATTTTACAAAAACAACACAGTTATATTAACTGAAATCATTAGGCTTGTGTTGAACCATAGTGAAAAAGTATAACCGGACAAAATAATAGGTATTCATTGATTAGATTAATTTAAAACAAGTAATTATTTTGTTAATAAATGCTCACAAAAAGGAGAAAAGAGAGAATCGAATTCATGCTGAGTGTAAATTCCGATGTGAATATTAAGCACAGATACACAAGTGAATTCATCTGTCGAGTATCAAAACGGGACGAAACGTACTCTCAGTAATTCAATGCTAATCAATAAAAAAATTATAGTCAGAACAGTCAATTCAGGTTATATAGAGCCTTCTGCTTAAAGAATCATGTACTGAAAAACTGACAGAACAGTTCGGCTTTTAATGCTGCATCAACAGTGAGAAAATATGCATCCTTCGCAACTAATTAATCACTGCATGTTTAATTTTAACCTGTCATTATTAGGTTATTCTTAATCTTGTGAGTGTAAGCTTGTTTTTATTTTTGTTTTAGTCAAACGATCAATTAGTAAGAAATAGTTTACTTCTTTTGATGGTACTCCTATAATAAACTTTAACAGAATGATAAGCATAAACATGAAGTCAAGATCAGTGAGTTCAGGCAATGTTGAGTTGAACAATATCGTAAATTGATCGAAGTTAAATCTATAAACCGTTGGGTAGAGGCCCAATTATTCAAATCTTATAAGGTTATCTCGATACCTCAAGGTCCTGGATTCGATCCCCGTTGTAGTTGCGAGCGCTTACTATCAACAAATCCTACACTAAAACGAAGCAGTTATCCAGTCCTATCTGCTTTCTAATGATTGTTCGACTAATAACAATCTATGCTATAAACTATGAAAATTCAACAATCTTTACAAACCCCAATAATAAATATAAAATGGTAAAGCAATTCTTGATTAGAACCGATGATTTTTTTAATAAAAATCTCATTAATTCATTTTATACATTAAAATAATTGGTAATCTTTATCTTCCTAATAAAATTAAAGTATTACAGTTTGTCCGTTGTATTTTATTAAATAAATTGTAAAAAATATACTAACAGAACAATATATATGATAAAATGATTATTTAATATCTGGCATTAACCTAACTAATATTTAATGTTGAAATTTTCTCTTAAGAAAAAATAAAAAAATAAAAAAGAAACAATGTAAAATGAAACAAATGAAATGTAGCAATCATAATTATGTATGAATTAAGTACTCTCAAGTGACCATTACAGTTTATGAAATGTTACAAGAGAAAAGCAAATCGACGATTGTATAACATAGTAGCATTAAAAAATGTAATATTATAAAATAGAAAAGGGAATAAAACCATATGGTAGAAACAAAATAAAAGGCATAAGTTGAATTGCTGAAGAGAATTCGAGAATGAATCGGATACTTTTGGTGGTGCTCCCATAGGGCATCAGATTGTTGGTCTGTGTATATGACGCTCTATTTATATAGGATAGAAGCTACTAGACAGATCTAAGTTAAATAGTTTTGTATTTAAAAAAAGGCTTGAGTTAATTATCGGTAGAATGTACTGGCGAGTCAAGGATATTATGGTTGAAAAACTTCCTAGCTTAATTAGAAGTATAAACGGTGTGTAAACTATTGTGTTACATCTCAGACAGTTTACAAATCTACGTATGCATGTGAAAAAAACATATAGGGCAAACAAAAAAGGGTGGATCACGATGTATCTAAGTGGTTGGGGAAAAAAACAAATAAGGTTCAATAATCCAAAAAGAGCAGATGATAAACACTCATTTTCTTCCACTGCTAAAACCAAATTTGAGAAACAAGTCATAAGCTGAATCTCAATTTAGCCTTTGTGATCTTTGTATGAACGTTGCTAAGGATGAAGAACTTCTATTTTTCAAAGCTTAACTTATACGAAAGATCAAACTTCATCATGCATCTTCGAAAGGCATCTATATTTACAGTAAACCTACTCTGATAATACTGATTACATCCTGATATTCAAATTGTTTGAAATGTATTGCTCTAATATATCGCATGATTTTGATAAATATAGTTTTCTCATTCCATTTCCCTAGGTTTATCAAACGGACTAACATTTTTAAAGTATCATACTCATTCTTACATTCATTAGTGATGTTGAAGATTATAGTCTGTGGCAAGCCCATTTGGCTACTGTATCATTTATCTAGTCATTTTAACTCAGACTCAATTCACTATGTTAATTTCGGTGTGTATGATCGAATGTATGTCTGTACATTAACTCTTAAACTATTTTCCTATTGGTTTCAATGTGCAGATAATCGATAATCTATCCACACCCGATTAACTCTCAAATATATATGGATTTTTAACAGACTCACACTCTCTCTGTTTCCATCGTGTGCTTGCTCACCGTACGCTTGTGGATTATCATTATTCATTAACAATAAACTATCTCTATAACTGGTGTTCAGGCTTCTTAATAATCTCGAGTAAATTCGCAATTCTACTAGGAGATTAAGCCTACCTAAAATACTCAGTTACAGAATATTATTATTTGGAGTCGGATATTGATGACATTACCCTTAACAAGTCACATTAGTAATAACCTAAATTTTATCAATGAATAAGTAATATGGTTTTCTCAACTCACTACATATAAGCGTATATATTATATATATAATATTTATACATATTCTACTTAACAGCCTCGTGTCAAGAGATATTTTCAAAAATGACAGAAGAAACAAATACTTACTAGTACTACATAAATACTATTAAATCCTGTGAAATGGTAACTTCGTACGATTAAAGCACATCGCTTTCAACTGGTAAGTGGCAGGTTCGAATCCCACCCACCTAATTTTAGTTCGATCGACCGGATAGTATCGGTAGCCGTTGCATAACTACAGTGCAGGTCAAAACTGAACACATAAAATCTGTACTTAATACATGAGTGAAACATATCTATAAGATCTCGTAACATTTCAATGACACATACACATACATTAACCTAAAATCGCAAGTAAAATATAATATTTATGATACATACCACCATATGACTAGAATTATTACTAATTAGTTCATCATGACGAAATGAACCATTAGTTGATTTTCGATCCAATTTATCCAAATGTACTAGTCTTGTATCCACCACATGATCTGCACGATTTGATGCATCCACATGATTAGTAGTGGTCATTACTGATATTAATTCAGAATTACTAGTTGAATTTATGAGTTTATCATTTGAACAAGAAGAAGATGAAGAAGACGAAGAGGATGTCGATGTTGAAATATTCAACAATTTCAAATGAGATTCAATAGAGTGAGAATCATCAGTTGAACATTGTCTATTATTATTAATATTATTATCCAGTGACAAAGGTTGCAACGGTGAAAAATTTGAATTATTATTTCTAATTTTATTTCTATTGTAAACAGAAACAGGAGATATTGGGATATTTAAATCATGATTATTTGTAGAGGTATTGGAAGGCATAGAAAAAGGAAGTTGTGAAATGTAATTTTGAACATTTGATGATAGCGGAATAATTGATGGTAGACGTGATACACCGACACCAAGTTGACGAGCTAATTTTAAATCCCAAGCTTCTTCATAAGTTGGATAAGAATTGGGTACATTAGAACGTCTACGACCGAATCCATGTGAATTATTTACTTTGTTATTCATTGAATTTTGTAAATCTGCAGAATTTGTCTTAGACAAGTTTATCAATTGATTCGGCTCACTGGGAATAGAATCTGTAAAGAGAAATAAATAAAAAGTTTGACAGAGAACGGTGATGAATTTTTGTCTTAAATGAAAGTTGATCAAACTTTTGTCAAGAACAAGATAAATTAACACACTGACTAGGCGAAAAGATATTATCAAAAACTCGTTTTGATCATGTCTTATAAAATCAAACTCCTATTGTTATTACAAAAAAGTCTCTGTCATGATCGTACACTCATGAGACTGTAAAAAGGAAAAAAAACATCATAAACTGAGAACTAAATTACTGAAAGTTGTAAAAAAAGGAAACAGACATTTACTCAAAAATGAGCTTAGGTCAAATTAATAAACACTTTCGTCATGTAAACAACTGGTTAACATTAAAAATAATGAATGGTTTAACGAACAGAAATTTTGTTGAATATCTAAAACGTTTTACATATATTGAAGGATAATGTCTATTGTTCATCGACCAAGTGTTATGGAATTTCTAAGCATTTTTATGATATTATTTTACACATTTCTTCAAACAAGCAAAATGTTTTTTATTCATTGAACAAAATTTCATACAACTGTAATAAAGTATATGGTTAGACGTTTAATCTCACTTTCATATTTTACGAGAATATCAGTAACAATAAGACATATCTTGTGATCGATTTGAATCATGATCATCAACATTACTGTCTAGTTTAGTAATAGTGATTAAATACAATTTTATCAGTGATTTCCCTAGTTTAAATATACTGATAGTAATCAATCAATGAGCTGGCCATAACAATGAAATATTATCGCAACTGCAAATGAACAAAAGTAAATTATATGGATGACCGGCGAGACTACAATTTATGGACGAACCAATCACGCATAAGATATAAGGTCTCGGATTTTGGCGCGAAACTCACTCATCTATTTGGGTAAATAGTTTTGGCATTTTATAGACGATGTCAGTTCGTGATGAAAACACTAAATCTAGTTTGTAAGCTTAATCATCAACTGTAAATTGTAATTCTAATTCCTCACACATGTTCATAATCCTCATTTCGTCCTGGTTATTAAGTGGACACTCTCAAATCCAGTCTAGCATCGCTGAAAGGTCGTCGTTCATAAATTATAGTCTCACCGGATGACTTGTTATTCAGTTAAGGGTACGTAGTGAATAAAACAATAAATCCTTGATTAAACAATAACAATAATTAATGAGTTTATAGGTATCAATGCCAAGGTTGAAATTGATAGTTTCAAATAAATTGAGCATTGGGTGGAAAGTTAATAGTAAATTTTGTTATATAATAATATTTTGTTATATTCCAACGAATAGAAAAATTGCATTTCTGACGTTTCGTGGCTTGATGTAAACCACTTCTTCGGAGTAATTAAATAAGTGAATTCGGCTATTTTTCTCCATATATTATTCAATTACAAAATTTGTTGTTTTTTGACTGACTAAGAATTATCAATATAGGGTTGTGGAGAGTTCTGAGTTTTAAGTGGGATCATAAACCGAAGAGCCTCATAGTAGGACGAAACGGACGTCCAGTGCTCCCAAGTCTTTAAATGGTGGTCTAACACTGATCGGTTCATGATCTCAATGACTAAGAATTGGCTGAAAAATTGTCACGATTATTTTAAGCTTGTCGCGATAATATATATCAAGTTTCTTATACACTGTATGTCCATTAGTATACATACACATATTTCCCTTCAACTCAATTGTTTACGTGGAATTTAATTTAATGAATTTATACATTGTATCTCGTAGATAATATTGTAGTTAACAAAGAACTCAGGTAGGAGGAAACGAATTAATTGTCTAAAGCAAAATTACAGTGTCTTCGTAAAATATGATATTAAATCCATCATTTTCACATCTTCCATCAATTGACTCCTCATTGTTACTTCATTTCAGTTGTTATTACAACTACTCTCTGTCTATATTCCTGTTCTCTCCAATTATTTATTGTCAATCTTTTGTTGGCATGCATTCCACTTCCAATTGGTGCTACCTACTACTCTTATCTGTCAACATAAGTAACATACACCACAATCGTCCTATCTTGAGGTGAAAGTCACTTGTGGGGTCGTTCTGCTCACCGTGTAGCTTGCTTCTTTGTCTCAGTCAGTGCTTCGCCTCCCAATGAAATGTCGAGCCGCCAGCGCGCTAACCTCCGTAGCAATGTCAACCTCTCGGGTCATCTAAGTCCAATATCCGCCCAGCATCCGGGACGTCCAACTCCTGCTCTCCAAAAACCTGTCGAGTTATCTACACCCGATGTCAGCTCAGAAATCAGACTCACAACATCTCCCCATCAACAGCGACTGCTTCAGCCAACGCCGCCCCACCAGAGCACTCCACTCGACGTCTCATTGTCGCACCAACTAGCGATTCCTTTCCCAGACCCATAACTGCACTTTCCTTTCCTCCCCTTTGACAGAAAAATTACAGAATGCTTTTGCAAAATATGAAAACCGCACTTCAACTTTCGATTTGTGTTACATACTGCTTAAATCTGTCAACATAAGTGGCATACATCACAATATGAGCATGTTACAAATACACTCATGATAAATAGTAATTACTTATATCTGTACTATTATAATCATTTTCAAAATGTCATTAGAAACTACCACTTTTTCTCAGTTTACTTTAAACAATCCCGATGTATTCAGTCTTCTATATTTCACTCATCATATTAAACAACGAATCTATTTAGGAGGAAACAAACTACAACAGAAACATTTGTATCCAGTGGCAAAAGAAAAAAAACGAAACAATGTTCATATTAAGACATATTCTCATTGATAAATGAATAAAATAGTTATCACTTATTATCAAAATGAACATATCCAAATACTAACCCCTTCTCACTGTCCTTCTATACACATATGATTTGACAGTTAATCGATCTCTTCAACTGAAATCATGAATATTATTTACATTAGAATTAATCCTCACCTTTGTAAACAGAAATGTAATGCGTACAGAACTATTCCAACTATAAACGTGGAATAACAGTCATACGGTAGCAATGTACTACTCTGATCCATTACATCAACAGTGGATAATGCGATGACATTTGAAACGAGCAGTAATAGGTGCGAGTCCCGGGATGAACATCAAATCGGACACAGACACATCCAGCTGATGAGTCCGAAGAAAGACGAAAAGCGCGGCCTGGATCCCACTCCTAGATACCATACATCGCTACTTAAAAGGCATGACCTCTAGTCATGAAATATCAAAATTTAAAAAATTCAGTGGAAGAAATGATATTTAACATATCATATAAGGCTTAGAGTAGAATGAACAGTAACCTTCACTTTCTTAGCCTCTTGTCTGACCGATTTCCTATGATTGCTATCCAAGTATTGTGTGTATAAAGACTAAACAAATATAAAACTATACAACTCAGTATAATATTTTTATTTCTTAAAATAAATAAAACATACTTGGCTGTTGATCACCGTTTACATGACTAGACTGATTTTGTAGAGAGCAATCAGAAGAATCTGACTGAAGTTCAGTTGAAACACAAGATGAATCATCTGTTGTAGAAATACTAGTTACAGGAATATTTTGATTAGTAGAAAAATTATCAATGCATGTAGTTGTATGGGTGGTAACGGTGGCAGTTATGCAGACATTAGACATGGATACCGATGATTTTGACTGGATAGGGGTTTTAACATGAACTTCATTTTTTCCAACTACACCACGAGGAACACGTGCAAAAGGGCTGGCTGGATGATGTGTAATAACAGTATTACCACGTGGAGAACTGGCAAAACAAACTGTATAAATTTAAAAACAAATAATAGTGAACATTTCTTCCTTTCCGTTTATTATATTAATATTCACACAGCTTAATATTGTTATGATCTGATGCATACAAATATTTCATAAAAATGTACTTAGATAAAAATAAATGTGGATTTTGTTAAAATAAAGTAATTGCGCAAAGTGTATCGGTTTTTTTATTTTTCAAATGATCAATGTTACAAAAACATATTGGACAACATAACGTTATGAGGTTGAAGTTAATGATAAAAGGATAGGTCAACAAATCACAAAGAATAAAATTAGGGATATTTTATTCAAGTATGATCATTAATACAGTGCAGACTGGACTATCTTATTTATTATTATTTATTTGAACACACAAATATTGGTACAAGGAGGCACCAAATACATATGCACTACACAGATCTCATTTGATTTGTGTGAGGGCTGTTATACTGCCCGGGTGCCCAAACCGAAGCAGGTGGTTATTTAGGGGACCCCACACCCGGAGCCTTCGACCTGAAGGTCTGATCCATAAGGCAGTGGAGCATCGTAAGGAGATGGAGTCCCATGGTAGCCAGCCAGTGACCAACGATTGGTTCATACACCATTTGTTCCTTCAGGATCCTGAATCCCATGTTTACCATTGTTTTGGATTCAGGGTTTTCCAACTCCCCTAGATGGACTCTCCATGTCCGCCAACCCAGTTGAAGTGCCGAACATTCACTTTTCATCCTCCCAATTTCGTAAACAACACCCCCGCCACGAGAAGGCAGTGAGTAGGACTTCCCTGGCAGTGGTTATGTACACTCGAGAGGGAGAACGAACTCACTGAAACACTTTATGAATAATTGAGTAATTTGGAAGTAATATTTTGATGAATACATATTCTTCCTTGTACTATTTATTAAAAATCAGTAATGAACTTTCGTTCAAGTTTCAAACATTGGTGCCTCTACTGAAGTTTGATAGATGCCTGTCATTTTAGAATATGCCTTTCAATGTAAGATCTCACTTTAGTTTTGTAATTTTAATCCAATAAAGAAACTGTAGCATAATGTGTACAACAAGATTAAATAGTTGCAGACTAAGTGAAATAAATAAAAACCCTACCAAATAAGTAAGATACGTAGACAACTACTTAATTCATTCTCTAGTAGATTACTTAAATCTATACAAGCTGATTAGTATTTGACTAATAAAAACGTCAGAATGAGTTTGTAAGTATCATTACGAAGATTCCACCTGATGATTTTAAATCAATTAAGGTATTGTGTGAGTTCTTTATAGTGTTAATAATCTTAGTAATATAATTGTATCATTACAATAAGTCAAAAAGTTTAGTTCTCTAAAAAAGCAACTTACACTAGGCTGTGAAACGTCATAAATTCAACTTTCTACACTATTACTCTGTTATTAATATGAAAGTTTTGCATTTTTTGCGCATACATAACATAGTAGCTGGTTAATTTTGAAAGTAAATATTCAAAAAGAATATAATAATATCTAGAGTGAGAACGAAAGACACTGAAAGAGTTAAAGTGTAATTTAAGCCGTTTTATTAAATTTGATACTTTTTTACATGATAATGCATACTAATAAGGAATGAATTAGAATTTACTGTAGAGAAAGTTCGATAATGCCTGTAAACAGTCTAGAATAATATCTAATTCAGATATTTCCTATTAATCAGTAATCAATTTAACTATGAATTAGATATTGGTTCCTATTGCCTTGTCATGGAAGTTTGATCTAAATTCTGGGTCACCAGTTTTCCAAACGTGGATTTTATGACCATACATTTACCTGTTTGAAATTTATTTTAATTAACTTATTATGTCTATCAACAACGTGTAATTAGGTGCTTCTACAGAATATTAACAACTCATCCCGAATTTAATTACTAAGAAACTTAAAAAGTATCATGACAATGGTTGTTTTTCGTTTCGAGAGACAAGAGGCGATACTTATTGGATTGATACAGTATATACATTCGGTGACGAGAAAAAGATGTCTTGCAAGCAACACCAATCATGAACAATAACAGTGCTTTCTGGTTTTCACTGGTGGTCTAGCTAAGTTCAGTTCGTGAGTTAAGTTATGAAGACTACAAATGAACAGAAACGTTTTTGTACATATTTTTGGAATATTCACAAATTAAACGCTCATGAAACGGTACAAAGAGAAATTTCTTTCTAAAATTTCGATTACGAATGGTTCACACTACGATGAATACGTTTAATCATAAAACTTACCATTTGACAGTGAAGTACTGTTATTTTTTGATTGAATACTAATTGCATTGCTGACTGCATTAGTTTCACCATTATTAATATTATTGTTAATTGAAGACATTGGTGAAACAGAATGACTATTACCATTTTTACATTGAATTGATTCAGATTTAGTATTTATAGAATGATGATGAAGAAGGATTGGGCTAGAAGTCACATTTGTTATTAATGTCTTCCGAGAATCGACATTATCATTATTATTTGTACAATGGTAATTAGGATGATGATCAGAATAGTTGTTGTTGCCGCTATAATAATTGCATGAACTGAAAGAATGTAAGGAGGGTTTATATGAAATATGAAATATAAAGAGTACACTAAGTAAAAAAATGAATGGAACACTATTGCACACATGCAAAAAATAAAAGTTCTCACTACTTCTTGTTCAGTGATAATTATCTTCACCAATATGACATACAGAATAAATTTTTGGAATTAGTTCACACAGAATGTTTGTCTGTCCATCATGAAATTGATATTCAAGTGTTTAGTAAACAGTCTTCTATAGAAAGCTTTATTCAAAGTGTATCCTCACTTTGTAATGGTTTATTGCATGCCAAAAAATGGATTGTCTAATAGTAACAAACTCAACTATGTTTCACGACTAAAACTTCAACTAGACCGTATTACTATTTAAAATGTCAGTATAGGGTTGTGGGGGCTGTTGAGATTTTTTTAATTAAGATCATGAACCGAACAATGTTAAACCACCATTGAAAACCTGAAAGCTCTGGACGGCCGTTTCGTCCTAGAATGGAACTACTTGGCAGTGCGCACCCACGATCTTGCACACGGGGCTCGAACTCAGGAACTCCAGTCTCACTAACGAAAGCTTTACCTCTAGACCACTGAGCCGGCTGGCATCCAACGGTGTTAATGTCTAACTTCAACCGATCCGCAATATTGCGCGATCGTCCACCACTGTTTTCAGTGAGTAACTGTTTCACGCCTGACACGGTTGAACTCCACTAGTCACGGCTTCTCACTAAAACTGCGATAATTACCTATTAGAACTATCCATTAGTGAGTTTATTTATGTATTAAATTTATTGTGGTTTCTGTTCATTTGACTTTTGAATTAATCGACCATAATTTTTGCTCGGTATAACATGAATTTGTATTACTTAATCCATTGTGATTTTTTATTTACTAAACTTTTGTTCAGTATAGTAATAAATTGTATCCTGTCTGTAATCATTTGTTTAAATGACAGCTGTTCGGTTTGATAATTTCTGTAATTAATAATCACTAAATATAATTAGTATATAACTGATTAAACTGGGATGTAATTTAATTCATCTAGAGTCTTTAGTAATTAAATCTTCCTTTCAAGATTGGTACCTTGGAGTAGTCCAGAGGCCAAGATAGGAGAAAGCTGCCATGTCGTAGCTCAGGGTATGATAAGAATTACTGCTGATACCTCAAAGAATAAAAATCTGAAAAGTCCTTTACAGTTCGACAGATGTAATGTAACTTCTGAGTTGTTGATAAGAGATACTTCAAAAACAAATGATGTTATTTAGATGTAAGTAGATAGTTTTCATGATAACCTTAATTCAGCGAAAGAATTACTTTGAAAACTGGTCAGCTGTCTCGTCTCAGTATAAAACTCTTCAGTAGATCCATGGGGTAATATTAAGCCATCAAAATCCGATTCCGACCAAATAATCTAAATGAATAACGGTCACCACAAGATTCTAAGTTCATGTCCTGATAGGATAATGAGTGTGTACTTTTGGAAAGTCTTTTATTCGAATTAAAACAGTTATCTTCAATGCTTGATGGTTCTGAATGATTTTCTGGATAAGTTCAATTCAGAATATAAAATATTTTCTAAATATATATATATATATATATATATATATATATACAGATTTCCAGAAATTTTCTCATTTGAAAGGAATCACTTTGAAATAATGAAAAAAATTATCAATCAAGCAGAGGACAGCAAACAAGTTTCTAGCTTTAGTTAAATTTGTTCAGAAATAATGTAAAAACAAAAAACAATTACGCTAAAGAATAAAAACCTAATTAGTGAAGAATAAATATTTAAATACTTAAACTAGAAAAAGAATTAAAATCAATTGAAACACGTTAGTTTGCTCAATTCTTTACTTTTTACAGTAAACAAAGCAGTAAAACAACAATGTCAGTCAATAATCAAAAGCATTCGGAACAATGAATTCATAACATTGAATATGATTGATTATTTTACAGATATACAACGTACACTACCTACACATAAACATGCACACCCAAATTCATTTGTATCTTTTGTTTCCTACAAATTATCATTTACATGTTGATGCACTGTTTCACTGGTACTTTATTCTCAATTTTATTCGAAACATGATTCATCTTGTTAAGTCATTTGGTTACTAATCTTAAAGCTTAACACTTCGAATTTTACTTTTTGACTTTCTATAGTGACACAAAACTCTACTTTACAACTGATCTAAAGAGTAATGAAGTTTCATCAATTAATCCATTTTGGGCCTTGATCATCAAGAATAATCTGTTTAGTTGTGTTATTCCTTCTCCTCAGTTATTCTTCTGAACCAACTTAGACTAGTGTAGTAAAATTTCGAGAATTCAATAAAAAGAAGCTCGTAAAACCGAAAACTATTAATATATTTTAATCACATTTGTATTGTATTAGTACATTAGTACCGTACTTTTGGTGGCCTTTGAAAATGTTTTCTAAAATTCAATAGAGATAAGTACCAACTTATTACAGTTGAGTTCTGAAATATCTCTATCTGAGCATGACTTCTAGGTAGATCTTGATACGATCGGAAATTAATCAATACTATATAAATATATATCATTTACAAAAAACCAATACACAATCATTAACATAGAAATAATAATAACTAGTGTTAAAAATTATTTGCATAAAGGAATCGATAGTTCTTCTATAGATTAAAATATTACTGATAATTTTATTCGTAATTTGATACTATCTAAATAATCAGTGAGATTTACATTGAACAAAACAAATAAATTTGATTAAATTCAACATTTTGAGACTGTACACATACATATAACATTTATTCAACATGAAATAATAAACAGTAATATTTCAATGGTAATATCAACCATACAGGATGCTGATTTTAATCCTTGTAGTATATGGTTATGAAGAGTTACTACCATAGTCAGATGTCAAGTGATTATCAAATAATATATATTCATGTAAAATAAACATGAAATCGGCAATTGTATAAAATGAGAATATTTAAAGTAAAATCACGATTGGGGGTGGAGTGCCGAAAATTGACAAAACCCATAAGAATTAGGACCAAAGTATCACTCAGAAATGTTACATAAACCTCTGATATCGAATAAAATAATTACATAGAATAAAATTAATTGGTTTATTGATAATATAAGAAAATTAATCAATAAAATGACTAGTGACTGGATATTTACCACTATAATAAAACAAGACAAAATCAATTAGAAATAAGAACTAAGTAGCATTGACCTTAGTTACTCAATTTATCTAGCTACTGGTTAATGCAATGATCTTCACGAAAGTTAAATCTTTCTTTAAATTATTTAATATAATGAACAAATAGTGAAAGAAAGAAATAATCTAAAAATTTATAACGAAGTAAAAAAAACAACTCATTTCTGTTGATTCTTTGTACACAGAATAGTTTACTGAATGTCGGTTGTTATAATATTGCTTTCTTTCCTGGAAATAAACACAATTTCCTTTCGTTCTAGTATAAAAATAACATGCAGTTATACATAAATATATATAATAAAGATTACTATCGTGAGACTTAGAACAACACAAATATAAGTGAACAATATTGTTTTCAATTAGATCGTCCGTCAGGCTGTATTCTAATATACATAAATATTTACATGTAAATTTTAAACCAATCAAGGCAATTTATGAGTCAATGATCATTATGGAATAGATTGTATGACTATATATGATAGGTAAACAGTGCAAATTGTTAGTAAGAAGACAGACGTACTAGTATTGGTAAGAATAATAAAGTAGCAGAAGTTCTAGTCAATAGTTTAACATGGAAAGTAGGTCAAACGCCAAAAAAGTAGACATTAGAATAATAATCGCAAAACACCATTAAAATTAAGTAGTATGAAGTATGTAAATAATTAAGTAGTAAAGAATATAAATCGAAGGAGATGAAAGGCTACAAACAAATACGAGGTGTGACAAAAAAATTTTCTAATGCCAAAAATGTAGAAGACAGAGTCAAAACCCCATTAGGAATAATGAGGGTACATGATGGATCGTTCGAAATGAATTGGCTTCGTTTACCATATGACCACTGTTAACAAAGTGTGGGGGCAAGGTAGGGCTTAGGATTGTCTTTTTCTGGGCTTTTCCAAACCAAAATGAGAGATGTTCACTTATTTGTCGGTTAAATTGTATGATAGTACATCCAGTATAGCTACCTTCAAGGAGCTAAAAAAAATTATTATTTTATTACTCTTATCAATACTTATGTACCTGTCTTCTCACTATCAATTTGTATTTTTGCCTACTATATGTCGTTATGCAATCTACACCATAGTGATCAATGACTCATAATAAATTGCCTTGATTGGTTTAAGGTTTTCATGTAAATATTCATGTACATTAGAGTAAAGCCTGATAATGATCGATAAATATGTGGACATGGAAGAATGATAAGAAAAGATGTAGGCAACATAAAAATCAATTTTAAAGATAATAACAATTGTTAATCATTCTATTTATTGGAGATAGTTCACTAAATAGTATGTAAATCCTTTAACACACACGCACACATAAATACATCCTCACATATGTACACACAAATACGATCAGACATTAGATGTCAAGACGAAAACTACCTATAAAACGCATTATAGTATCCAAACTAGAATGAAGTTATCATTCGAGCAATAATCGTGATTGGAAAATAGTGGTATTTCTACCTTATGTAACATAAAATTACAATCCCCATAGAAATTGATGTTGTATTTATATTTTTATGTTGGATTAAAATAATTTTAGAATTTTGTACTTTCGTTTCAGAACAAGATACACTGACGGAAGAGAGTTAACTTCCAAACATTAAGTAATGTAAAGCAGTCAACCCAATACAATTTACCAGTAGTAACGAAGCATGTATTTGTGTGTATGTATACATTTGGGGCGACCGAACCGACAATCAACAAGAACAAACAACGACTGAATACACTTCAAGTTCATACTTAGGTTATTTTAAGACTTTACAATCAAAGTAAATCAATCATATGA